CAATACCCAGGTACTATATAAATAGTGGCAAGTGGGGAAAAAGAGAAAGAATTTTTTTTTTCTAAGGGACATGACACTTAACAATCTCCAACAGGGTCAAGGAGCCAAAGACAACCTTTTCTTGACTTCAGTTGGGGGTACCGACTCATCTCACAAGCCATTATCTACATCAGGGCTCCCAGGCTACATGTGGCCTGCAAAGGGTTAACATATGGCCCCTTGGCTCCCAACTAGCTACTGCTGCCCCTTGCTCCAGCTGCAGCAGTAGCCAAGGTCTTTAGGCTGCTTCTCCCTCCCCTGGCTTCCCCACTCTGACCCAGCAGCAGAGGTCAGGACAATGTGATGCAGTATGCAGTGCTCGATAAGCCAGCAGCTCAGAGTACCTGTGTGGCATAGTGCCACAGGGGAACTCCAGAGCTACAGGGGAGGTGGGGTACTGTACCATGTGGGGGCTTGTGCACAGTGCAGCAGGGGAGAGGTGCTTGCCTACACCTGCAATGCAATGGGGTGGGAGAAAGATCTCCTGCCCACATGTGGCATTTAGCCTGGGGGAACCATGGCCCCTGTGGTGGGCTACCCCTGCTGATGTGGCCCATGGGGCATATGGCCCCAGCCACTATGAACTGGACAGCCCTGTTTTACATGATTTGCTGAAAAGAGGCCCAGAGATATTAACCAGAAGGAACTACATCCTCTCAGTCTGTGTCAGGGGTAGATGACTAATAGGAGGTGGGGCTGGCAGGCACAAAACCAGCAGCCCGTTGGCCCAAGCTCCAGGATCACAAAGACCTAGCTACTTGCAAAGAATTCTGCCGGTAGGCAGTGAAGAAGAAATGATCAGATCAATAGCACAAATATTCAGACATTGATGGAGGGCGGAGAATGCATGTGACCAAAGCAGGAAGAGTCAACTTGTGCAACTAACAGCTTAGGGAGGAGCAAGAGAAAGCAACAGGAAGAGTGTCGGTGAGGGCAAACGGTTTATTTTTTGGCCCTTATTCAGCTATTGCTTATGCCCAACACTGCATTTGGGAAACCGGGCAAACGGCTTGATTGCACAATGTTTTCTGCAAAAGGAGGGCTCTTGCAAAGTCCTGTCAATGGTAGCGCAGGAAGGCATGAGTGTGGGAGAATTAAGATTCAGGAGACAATGTGAAGGGGCCAAGTGAGGAGTAATATTGGGTAACATCATACTGCGGTCCAGTCATTTCCTTATGCCCCTGAGGTAATGGGGGAAAAAGTAAAAGTTCTATTTATGTTTCAGTCACTCTTCATTGTGGTGTGGCAGAGGAGGATGAGCTGGAGAGGAAGAGGAAACACCATTACTGAACCAGCATGGTTTGGACAGAAACAAACTCATAGGACCAGGGATCTGCGATGTCTGCCCTGGAAACTGCCTGTCGGCATTTAAAAAGGAAGCTGTAGATTCCACTACCATCTCTTGAGACAGTGTCATGGGAAACAGTGCATGATGCATTCCTCATGGGGTCACACTGCCCCCTCACTGCTAATAGTCCAAGCACAAGGCAATGTTAAATAAGGCTGGGGCCAATGCTAAATAAGGCTGAGTGCAATAAGAAATGATTTTATTTCGGGCCTGTTGAAATATACTAAACATACCTATAATGCTCAAGGAGACAAGCCGGAAATTTTGGCCTTTACAAAACAACATATTTGGTTGTAATTTCATTACAACAAAAATGTTTTGACCAACTTTAGTGATAATTGCATGATTGCAATATACCCAGGGGATGGCAGACAGGGAGAGGTGGACAGTACCACAGCAAGAAAGTTTGGCACCTGGGGCAAGCCCACCGCAGCAGCCCATCCTCACTCCGTGCACAGATCCAGAGGACACATGCCTCTCCATGCTTACCTGGGTGTGCAGCAGCAGCAGGAGCTGCCCCCCATCCCTGTGCCCCACCAAAATGAGCCACTCACAGCTCTGTCCCGCACCCCACCCCAGCTGGGCAGCGCCTGTTGATGCCCCTTCGCTTGGGCACCTGGGGCAGTCGCCCCACTCGCCACAGTACTGGAGGTGGAGCACAGATTACTTCCAGTTACAAAGCAGAGTGTGTTGAAATAGGGTAGAAATCCCCCTCTCCATGCTTATGGGGATATACCACTTGACATACATCTTATTTTATAATTAGGGACAAGCCCACTCATTCTTCACCTGGTAGATTCACATGCAGCCAGCAAAGGAACTTTGCTCTTACTCTACTTCTCTTGTCAATTGGTTGCATATGCCAACAACCTTTCACCTTGCATAAAGTCCCACCCACTGAGTCTAGTCTAAGGTTTGAAGAGGCAATGATTTTGAGATGACAGATAAACTTTCTGACAATTTCTTGCTGCTGCGTTAAATGGAAAAGGCTGATGTGCATCACAGCAATGCCAGAAGTGTCAAGAGATGCTACCTATCAAGGCTCACATGCCCAGGAGCAGTAACACAGATTACTGCTCCAGTTTTTCCAGAATTGTTGATTTTCCACATGATCTTAATGGGCCTTGAGATAAACAAAATCCATATGCCCAACAGATTTTTCAGTCCATCAAGTTAGAAGCCTATTTCTATTGCCACCCTGGAACCACCAATTATTCTATCCTGTTTTTCTTAGGTAGGAGAAGGCTGAGTAGCATCTGCTGGAGGTGGTAGTGTGTTCCCTGCCACTTGTGGCCCATAATGAGGAGAGTGCTCTCTTGGCACCAGTCCATTACAGAGTGCTTCCTGAGTCTCCCCCATGGAGAGTGGCCTATTTGTACATCACAAAGCAAATTTCCTGTATCACAGATAAGTACGTTCCCAGAGTCAGTGCTGCAGTCTTTTTATGGCATTCCATGTTTACAAGAAAAGGCTCAGCTGAGTGCTCTTTGCAGAATACAAATATCTGTCCTATGTTGACCTTCAGTAAGCATGAGGCACTGCCTGTACTTATTTAAACCTTTCCTATTTCTGATACCTTGTTCGTTTTTGAGGTTGATGTGGGTTCTTACTCCTCAATGGCTGCCACTTAGACATTTTGGAGGAGGACAAGTGCAGGTAGGTAGGCCAGTACTGCATTTGGTTACAACTGGGCAAAGCAGTGGGCAGGCACCAGAGCTTCACGTGGCAGCTGTGTACCTGGCTTGGAGGGGAGCAGCCCAGCATACTGCTTTCTCCAGGATGGGTTTGAAGTTTCAAAAACCCAGCAACACCACCCCTCACCTTTTACAAGCCTCAGGCTGACTGTTGCAGACTGCAAAGTCCTTTCCTTTGACAATGCCACTATCACTCTTCCAGCTCCTTGGTCATCACTGCCTTGTCTCCAAGGCCAATTTTCTTCTCTCCTCTAACACAATTCTAACATGGAAGAAATCAAAACCTGCCACTTAAAATGGAAAAATCCTTAACCTAAAGCAGGAGAAGAAAAAAAAAAAAAGAACCCAGACTACGTAGCATCTTCTTCCTAAGCTCCCAGCTACACACTGGTCTCCAATAAAAGATATCACCTGAAGACAGTGGTTTTCAACCTTTTTTTTCCCATTAGCAAACCCCTAAAAATTTTTGAATGGAGGAAACTTTGGAAGTTTCAAATGGAGGTGCTGACCCCTTTAAATTGTAAGTGTGGGTATTTGCATACTTTTGATTGATTATAGTCATCTTTGAGAGAGAGAGTCCAGAGGAGAGCCACCCATACGATCAAAGGCCAAGAGAGCAAACCTTACGAGGAGATGCTGACAAAGAGAAGGCTTGGGGGGGGGACTTGGTGGCAGCCTGTTAGTATGTAAGGGGTATGCATCAGGATCTGGGGGAACAGTTGTTCCCCAGAGCTCCCCAAGGAATAACAAGGTCCAACAGCCACAAACTCCTAGAAGGCCAATTTAGATTGAACATAAGGAAAACCTTCTTCACAGTTGAGTGTCCAGGGTCTGGCACAGACCCCCTCCGGAGGTGATGCAAGCATCTACTCTGGACTCATTCAAAAGGTGTTTGGATGTTTATCTTGCTGGGATCTCATTGATCCCAGCTGACTTCCTGCCTATGGCAGGCTGGACTTGATGGTCTTGCGAGGTCCCTTCCAGCCCCTAATGCCTATGACATCAATCCAATCTTTCGTGGACCCCACGAATGCTGCGTGCCCCCGGGGCTGAAGCGTGACAGTGGTGAGCGGTGAACTCCTGCAGGCGGCCCCGGTGGTGTTGGCAGCAGGGGAGGAGGGTGGCGAGCATCGACCAATGGTCGGTGACCAACAGCAGATGCTGCCAGCAGTGGCGATTGGGGACTGCCCGCAGACGGTGTCGGTGGTGAGGGCACGGGTGGCGAGTGGTGACCGCCTGCAGGCACCACCGGCAGCGTCAGAGGCGCTTTTTGCAGGGGGTGCACACGTACCCCCTACGCATCGCCGATGTAGCCTGTCGATGGATCACAGGTCGAAAACCACCACCCTGAGACAATCCTTGCTGTTCTCCTCAGCCACTGGAACCTTGCTTTAAACAAACGGCGCTAGGAAACCCTTCAAAATTATGGGGGACGCGCTAACCACAGGGCTGTGGAAACCCATCCTGTGTCGCAAGCCCAGGCCTGAAACCTCTGAGGCCTGGAGATGCGCCTCGCCAGCCTGCAGCCAACAGCACCCTCTCCAAAAGCAGCGCAAGCCCCTCGCCGGGGTCGGGAAGGACAACCGGGCCACCTGGAGCCCCACAATCAACACGGGCGGCAGAGGTGATAGCTGATTAGATTAGATTAGATCTCACTGATTTGAGTTGACCAACTAGATCGCTCACTTGCGACACGCACAATTTTCCTAAAAAACATGTTTGTTTAAAAAAAAAAAAAAAAGCATGTAAAAAAACCCAAAGCAGCAAATCCCACTCCCGGCCCCAACCCCCGGCATTGCCCGGCCCCGCGGGCACAGGGAGGCGGCAGAAGCACTGAGCCGCTCCCTCCCGCTCCCCCGACCTCCGCCCGGTCAGCTGACCGCTGTCATGTGAGGCCGCCCCGAGCTCCCGCAGGCTGCCCGCCAGCCCCCCCGCCGGCAGCCCCCATGCAGCTGCTGCTGCTGCTCGGTGCCCTGCTGCCGGCTCAGGCGCGCTACGACCCCACCTGGGAGTCCCTGGACGCCCGCGCGGTGCCCGCCTGGTTTGACGAGCTCAAGTTCGGCGTCTTCATCCACTGGGGCGTCTTCTCGGTGCCCAGCTTCGGCAGCGAGTGGTTCTGGTGAGGCCTCCATGCCGGGGGCTGCCCCCCCGTCCCCTTCCCCTTCCCCTTCCCCTTCCTCTTCCACCCTCCCTGTCCCCCTTCCCCTTGGCCCCAGGCCGCGGCAACCGGCAGGAAACAACCTTTCCTTTTTCTTTTCCGGCTCCACCATCCACCTCAGAGCACCTCATCAGGTCCCCCTCGCCTTTCTCAACCTGTGGGCTCATGAGAATCTACAAAAGGGTGGCCGTTGTAGAGGACAGTCCAGTTGTCCTCTGTTGATACGAAACTCGATGCCTTGATGTCCTCTGTTTTTCTCTTTAAGAAATAAAGGTGTTGGTGCTTTTTCAATAGAGGACAGAGTAGCAGAAAACCAGAATGTCCTCTGTGATGGCCACCCTCACCACCTAAGGGGACCTCATCGGGTCCCCTAGTGTTTCTCAACCTGTGGGGTCACAGGAATATATGAAAGGGTGGTGAATAGGGTGGCCGTTGTAGAGGACAGCCGGGTTGTCCTCTAGTGATACAAAACCGGACGCCTTTATGTCCTCTGAAATAAGAAATAAAGGCATTGGGTTTCGTATTAATAGAGGACAGAGCAGCAGAAAACCGGAATGTCCTCTGTGATGGCCACTCTAGCATTTTTCAACCCAGGGGGTCGCAAGAATATACAACAGGGTGGTGAACAAACTTGGAAAACGGATCGAGGCAGGCAAGGTTCTGCCCATGTCCTTAGACCAACAGGGCTGCAACCAAAAACCCTGCCAAAATGGATCAACACACTGGATTCTCCTTTAAAGGAGGAAAATGTGGGAAACTGTGACTTTCCCCTGCAGGGTGGTAGAGTTTCAGCCTGCAAGGGGCTGCTTGGGGGGGGGGCCCATGCCCCACACACTGGGGGCCTGGGGGTAGCGGGTTGGGAGCGAGGGGCACTGGGTTGGGACTGTCCTTTGATGTTTACAAATGGGTCCTGGTACAGTGGTCCTCCACTACAAAAAAGGTTGAAAACCATTGAACCCTGCTCAAGGCAGGGTCATCCCTGACTGCACATCTGTTTGACCTGTTTTTGAACGTTTCCAAGGATGCGGATTCCGCATTCTTCTCCCCATTCTGATGCCTGCCCACCCTCATAATCAGACAGTTCCTCCTCATCTCCAGCCTAAACTTCCCCAGCTGCAGCCTGTCTCTGGGAAGCCAAATCTGACTCCCCCGGGGCAACCTGGAGGCTCCCTGCTTTGGAGAGGGTTTGAAACCCAAACTAAATGGGGTGGGATCTAGAACTTGGGAAAGGGGCATGCCTGCGGTGAGGTGCCTCAACCCATATAACACAATACCTGTTTTTCTCCAGATAAACTCAAAGCTTGCCTCCTACGCTGGGTGTGAAGGGTTGGGCTATTTGATCTGAGGGTGAAGCAAATGCAAATGAAGCTGTACTGGAATGAGTAAAAAAAAAATCTGCAGGGGTGTAAAATAGGAACAGCAGCAGGGCAGAGTGAAGGCTGGCTTGACTGGTGGCATGTTCAGACCATTAAAAAAAAAGAGAGAGGGTTGTTAACATCTGTGGAATTAAGAGTTTAGGAGGAATCAGATAGCGATGAGCCATCTAGACTAGAAATGCTGCTGGCAGGCAGTTGCTTAAATTTTGGGTGGAGTAGGACTCAAAAGGGGGTCACCCTGCTAGATCCAACCCTGTAAATGTTCTGGTGATATAAATGAGGGGAAATATAAGCTTCCTACCACAGCCCCCTTGAACTTGAGGGGTTGCCTGTCCCCACTTAAGTGCCTTTTCCACATTCCTATTTCTTTCAACTTCTCATATGGCCTGCCTTTCGAGCCCTTTTTAAAAGGTGGAGACAGATATTCAAGATGCTCTCGTATCTCTAATGGACTGACCCTACACAACAAATTAGCAGCTTCAAGACTATGCATGCATATGCTTGCTTTACATAACCCAAGACTTTGGCTTGAGCCCACGTTTAGCTGATTCATAAAAATAGAGGCTTTTGTTTGGCAGCAGGTGTGGTTTTAAAAATTGCACTTTCCACAGCAAGAAAACCCTGCTTCTGAGTCTGCAAAGACATACGTGTGAATTAAGTTACAGACATGTGACTGCTCATAGGATTAAGCCTGTTGTCTGGTGCACCAGTTTGCTATTTCCGTTGCACACCAGCCACAAATTTCTTTGTGACCCTGAGCAAATCACGGAACTGCTCTGGCATTTGTACAACAGAGGCAATGACACCTCTCTCATGGGGTTATAGCCTAGTTTCAGTCAAAGTCAGAAGAACATATATTCAGAACTTGATCTTTCTCAAGGCAGAATTTGACCCACATGTATTAGACGTGCAGGGAAAGCTTTTAAGAGTCCTTTGATGTGGGCTCCACTTTACTCACAACATTCATTTTGGACAAATGAGGTGATGCCTTGACTGTCTTTGCAGGGTACAAGTGAATAGACCATTCTTTGCTTAGTAGAGTTTAAAATAGTCTTGGCTGAGATGCTGTCTCTAGTTTTGGGTATGTTAAGACTGCATTTAATTCCTGAAATGTTCTCATGTCTGATATTGAACAAAAAGGGTCTCTGCAATTATATATGCGCCAAAGGTAGAAGAGTTTTGATCATGATACAGATCCTCCAAAAGAGAGCGTATGGTAGAATCATCATTGTTAAAATCCTTCCTAAGTGTATTAACCATGCATGTTTAACAACCAACAAAAGTATTCCGCTATTAGGAAATAAAGACTTCCAAAGTGTTTGTAGGCATTTTGTGCTAGCTTTTCTCAAATATAAGCCACTACAGTGGACTGCAGTTACATGAAGTTAGTACACAGTACAGCCCATTAATTGTGGTCTTATTAGATACCTCTCCCCTGATAAAAGACTTTCTTGTGCAGGGCTTGGTTTCTCTCATGCTTGGGCATAGAAAATAGTACAACATTAAAATAAACTAATTTTAACACAGTGCATGGCTTTGCCCCTTATACTGTATTTGAACTGTTGCTTACTATCTGCCTGTCCGGTTTTTATATAGGTGTAAATGTTCACTTCAAGTAGCATTTGTAACAGATGTTGGTGTGGCTCTTGGTTCCTGACCTTCTTTCTGTTGGTTCATACCAGCTCTTGTTTCTGAGCTGTATCAGTTCTAAGAGTTCTAACTTCCTCAGATCCATCTCTACCTTTCTTTTCTCTGTGGTACTCAGCACTTTTAATGTTGTTCTGGAAATGTGCATGACAAAGGGGAAGAAGAAAGAGGAAGGTGTCTACTTTTGAATTTGAAATACTTCATGATTGCAAATATTTCCCCCACTTCCTTTTCAGAAGATGATTTTTGGGGAGCGTGGGGATAGGGAGGGGCAGAGTTCTTTTCTTCTTGACTTTAACTCACACAGGGTCAAATTTCTGCACGTGTAAGCACAAATTCTGTTCTCAGTTGTATCTTTGTGGGGCGACTTCACTGGTATCACTCCAGATTCTGAAGCTGGCCTGGGAACTTAAACATTTTTTTTTTTTAAATTGAAAAATCCTTTTCCTCTTCTTCCTCATTTTGTGTCTGAATCCACACAAGTCTAAGCCTACCAGTTTAATCTCAATTTGCAGAAGCCTAAGCCCCTCCATATTCTTAACCATTCAAGTACTTACTGTTGGCTGTAGCATTTACTTCTGTGAGCAGATCCCTGCTATTTTTTCTGTGATGGTAAGCAATAGATCTGTTTATGGAGTTGGTAGAGCTGGGGGCATAATCAGGCTGGAAAATGGATAAGTGGTGGAGCAGTTGTGCTGTGGAGTTGCAGGTGGTGCAGTAACATGGATGTCATCCATAGCAGCTGCCACAAACTGGGGGGGCTCTTAAAGAGGCAAAGGCAAAAAGGTGTTTTGGGCATTCAGCTCTTCTTGAACAGGTGGTACAGGAAAAGAGCACTAAACCACGTGGGCTCAGAAAAAGGATGGTCCTAAAGCACTGGCACTCCAGGTAGTGAGTGGCCTATGTGGCTTATACCTCCTACCACCTTTATATGATCAGTAGTGAATTTTCAGGACTTGGGTCCTATATAATATTCTCTGCATGTTCCCCAGTCCTATCAACACAGCTCAGAATGAAATACTGGGAAATCTCTATAAAGAGAAAAGTAGAGCTGGGTGTGTCTACTCAGCAAATCTGTTACAGTCTGAAGGAGTTTTATTTCATTTCCAGTGTCCTTCTACCACAGCTTTATCTCAGTGGGTACTGCTGGTTAGAGTATTAAAACAGAATTTGATTATTGAATTCTCTAGTGCTGAAAAATATTGTTGGCTGATTTTATTGTGTATTTTGTAGGTGGTATTGGCAGAAAGAAAGGAGAAAGCCCTATGTAAAATTTATGGAGGATAATTACCCTCCTGGGTTCAGGTATGAAGATTTTGGCCCGTTGTTTACAGCAGAGTTCTTTGATCCCAACCGCTGGGCAGATATTCTGAAAGCTTCCGGTGCAAAATACGTTGTCTTGACTTCAAAACATCATGAAGGTAAATGGGATACATATATAAGACCTGGTAATAGTTTTAGTGAATAGTTCATTTATTTTAGCTGAACAGAAAACTGGGGGAACTCTCCTATTTAGCTGGCTAAATGTTAGACAGCGTGGCAAGGATCACAGGAGGCCCAAATCTCTCATAAATAGGCATGGTCATAGAGGCTGCCTATATATGTGCTTGGAAGTGGAGGTGCTGTTTTAATTAGAGCAGTTCCTGGACAGCTGCTCTAATTAAAACAGATCACTGTCACGTGTATTAAGGCCCCCTGCATTTCAAAATGGCAGTGGGTGAAGCAGTTTTAATTAAAATGCAAATAGTTCATAGTAGGGTCGGAAGGGACCTGAGGAGATCATCAAGTCTGACCCCCCTCAGTTAATCAGAGTCTGCTCTAATGCGTTGCAGTTAGAATGCGAACAAGCACGTCTGTTTAACAGCCAGAGACCAGCTAAAAGGAGAAGTTGGCTGTCATGCTACAAGAAGCTGAATGGTTGCAGTGGCTGAAGCTGAGGGTACTACAAAGCTTCCTGTAGCTGCTATTTATATCTAAGTTTTGCATCATTTGGCACAATAATTTGTCTTTGTTTGGGCTACAGGAGTAAATTGTGGAATGTTTTATAGATAATATTACTGTGTGTAAAGAATTTATTAGCCATGTACATTTTTATCTGTGTATAGAATCATGGAAAAGTAGGGCTGGAAAGGGACCTTTGGAGATCATCTAGGCCAACCGCACACCAGAAACAGGATCATCCCTATCCAAACCATCGTATGCAAATCCATTGTGTAATCTATTAGTAAAACTAAACAGTCGACCCTGACACAACCACAAGGCACAAAACCCTAACCTGCCATAGGTAAAGCGGGGGGATGACAGTGGCCAGTGTCCTGTAATACATGCAGTACTATATGTTGTTGGGAGTTGATTACAAATTTTAAAATGTATACAACTATCAGTGTTAGTATCTTAATCTCTGTCTACCATCTAAGTGGAGAAAGTAGACGAAGCAGAATTACTCATGATAGTTTTATAGTTGGGGAACTGAGACGGATTTACAAGAGTTCCCCAAGGTTATGCAGGAACTCTGCAGAAAATGACAAGACCATATTTCCTCTTACTGTGACCTTTTGGTGAATTGTATTAAGGTGCTACTTGTTCGTGCAACTGGTTGAATGGCAGACATGAACAAATCTTTATGCTCAAAGGCCTCTTATTTCAGGATATCTGAACATTTCAGAAACCTAATTGTTTTACAACATCATGGCAAACATTTTCACAGACAGGGGTAAAATTACTTACAGGGCATTAGATGAACAAGAATTGGGATTCTAAACAACTTGGTAGGTTTGTGCCTGTTCCAAGTAGAAGGAAAATATTGTAATGATATGACAAAGCACTGGGCTGTTGTGCCTCAATGTAGATACTATTCTAGGAGTATAGGCACAGGACTCATGAGCTCTATTCACACTCTGACACAAGGCAAAATTCTCATGAAAGTTTACGTCAAAACTCCCATTGACTTGGATGGAAGCAAGCTGTTACGCAGGTTCTTTGGCCTTGGGGGGTGAACTTTAACCTTGTTGCCTCAGTAAACTGGGGATAATAATATTTACCTAATTCATAAAGGTGTAAGATTTCTTAGCTAATATTTGTAAAACATTTTGAAATTCAAAGTTAGCTACATTGACTATGGTCTGTTCTGCTTGCAGTACTTTGTAATTGTTCCTTGTTATTCTCTCCTTTTCTGTGTTTAGGTTTTACTTTGTGGGGATCAAAATATTCTTGGAACTGGAATGCTGTAGATGTTGGACCTAAAAGGGACATCGTGGCTGAGCTAGCAGCATCTATTAGAAACAGGACAGACTTGCGCTTTGGGCTGTATCACTCTCTGTTTGAATGGTTCAATCCCCTTTTCCTGGATGATGCCTCCAATGCGTTCAAGACGAGAACATTTCCAACTTCTAAGTCACTGCCTGAGCTCTATGAGATTGTGACCAAATACCAGCCAGAGATCCTTTGGTCAGATGGGGATGGTAATGCACCAGATACTTACTGGAACAGCACTGGTTTCCTAGCCTGGTTGTACAATGACAGGTATATAATGAACCCCCCTTTAACCATATATTTAACCCTTACAATTGGGACTCTGACCAATCTTTAGCTTCTCTCTTTCTTTCAGTATATATTATTTCAGTTGATAGAATATAACTCTACTGGCTCCCACTTAATTTCCCAGCAATTACAAGGGTCAGAGAAGCATTCTAGGAATCAAATTATTAGACCTGGATGAAAAGTTATGAAAATGATGCACCTCCCCCCCCCCCCCCCCCCCAGTAAAAAAGGTATAGGCTTACAAGCTATTCCATTAAGATGGTATAGTCATTCTCTCTCTTGCTTGCTCTCTCTCTCAGACATTGTCCTGGAAATTAAAATAATATACAATACTGGCAAAGAGGATAGGTGGAAGTCTTAGGAATATAGTCAGGAACTGCTCTTCACAGATTGGGCCTCTGGCCCTGCCCATAAAACACAATGTTCAGGCAAATCTCCCAAGAGCATCAACAGGAGACTTGTCTTTTTTATGAAGGGCAGGTTTGGGTCTTTAGCACTGATATCAAGATTGCTCTTGGTTCAGGTCTCTTGCCCATTTCCATTATGTACTGAAGAAATTTAGAAGTGTTCTACCTCTGAGTTTCTGGAGGGAAGAAGATTAAAGAAGTGTTTTATTTTTTATTAAAATTTGTAAATGCTTATTCAGAACTTCTCTAATTTCAGCCCAGTTCGGGATACAGTGGTAACAAATGATCGCTGGGGAGCAGGCAGCATTTGTAAGCATGGTGGATACTACACCTGTAGTGACCGCTACAACCCAGGGCACCTTCTGCCTCACAAATGGGAGAACTGTATGACCATAGACAAGTGGTCATGGGGTTACAGGAGGAATGCGCAGCTAAGTGATTACTTAACAATTGAAGAATTGGTGAAGGTACAGTAAACCAAAGAGATTGTACACACTATTTGCTACTCATTTCTGATGTATTTTAGTTCAGTGTCATGGTAAAACTTGAATTGCTGTGTAACCTCATTGACCGCATCCAGATGAGCATGGCTGTGTGGTATGTGGTGCTACAAACATGTCTACGGTGCCACATACCGCACATTCAGATGTTCTCTGGGCTGCAATGGAGCACTGCCTGTGTGTGCACTGCTCCATGTTTTTTTTTTTTCCCCTGGGGTTTTTATTTTTTTGTTTTACTCCTGGGTTCAGAAAACTTGTGGGGGGAAAAAAGGTGGAGCAGCGCATGTGTGGGCAGTGTGCGTCGCTCAAAAACAGAGCTGGGCCACCTGGAGCTGTGCTGCAGCTACTAGCGAGGCTCTGTGCAGCAGAATTGCTGCTGCTGCAGCCTCAGGACCCCAGGTAAGGCTGCTGGGGCCAGCCTGCTGCTGAGGCCAGCCCAGTGCTGGCCCCAGCCTCCCTTACCCCACCCGGGGTAACTTGCCACATGCCAAAGCGAACATGGCACAGGTGTTCCCTGGGGACAAGTAGCGGTGGCGCATGGTGCACTGCTGCTACCTGGCTCCTGAATCAAATATTTATGCTCGTGTGGACACGGTCATTATGGTCATTTTTCTCTTAATGCATTATCCAGTTCAGTTCGGTACTGGTTCTGTTTTAAACATGCATATCCTTTGATTAGATTTTTCTCTTTTCTTACACCAGTTTTACAGTAGCATAACTCAGTTGCATCACTTTGAATTATTCTACATTTACACATGTGTAACAAGGATGAAAATTAAGTCCATAAATTCCTCTGTCATTTTTATTATAAATGCAAAAGGCAAGCTTTACCTCCTCTTTTTGTCCTTAAGGCTCTGTCTATACTCTTTACTCATGGAGGTAAATTTGTAAGGTAGTAGAGATTATAATAGATATGACATGTTTATTTAGTGTTGTCCTGAGTATTTAATGTAAATTGCATACTAAGCATTTTCAGTATTTAAGTGCAAAAAAGATATCCTTGTTTCTGCAGCTGCTCTGTATCTTCTAGAACAGGGGTTCCCAACTGTAGCATGCATACCCCTGGGGGTATGCAGGACACCTTCAGGGGTTATGTGGGAGAAATTGTGTAGTGGCAGATTAAAATTTCATTATAATAATAATTGGCGTTTAAGGGGCTAAAATATAAAATGCATTCTGGTAGGGGTACCCAGGCAGCTGGTAAATCTGGAAGGGGGGTACACAATAAGTAAAAGTTTGGGAACCTCTGTTCTAGAATATTCCATCTGCTACTGTTGGGCTTTTGTACACGCCACAAAATTGGCCTTTAAAACAGCTTAAATGCCTTTTTGCATCACTTTAATGGCATTGCTGTTTGCACACTTGGCAGTGTATTCCGTTTTAAATGACTTGGTACATAGCAAGATAAAACATCTCCGAGGTGTTTTAGTTTGCTATCTAACAAAGTGTAACAGTGCACGGGGTGCTGGAAGCTGACTTGCTCAGGGCTTGGTGGGCCCTGCACAGCTTAGGGGCTGTGGGACCCAACAGCATCCTGTGTAGACAGGTTTCACTGAAATTAAAAAAATGAAAGTAGTGAGCCTGATATCTTTCCTCCACCCAACCCCTGGAGCCTGCCTGCCAGCTCTGTGCAGGGGCCTGGTGCTTCCCTTTGTGGGGGCCAGTGCTTCCCTCCACGGCTGCTGCACCCCCCTGGACTGCCTGAGCTGGGTGCCACCTGGGGAGTCCCCACACAGCTCAGGGACCGCTTGGCCTGCCGGTAGCTCACCTGTCTGTTCCCTTCCCCCCGTGGCCGAAAAGGCAGGTAAGGATCAGGCCTCCAAGCCACAGGGGTTGAGTTTGGTTTAGAGATCTGTTTTCATAAGCATATAGATATCTGTTTTCATAAGAATATATTTAAACCACTGTGTATGTTTCATTAAAGCAAGTGTTTCTATTTTATAAACGCTAAAAGATGAGGAATGACACATGAATGTGCTGCGGTTGGTAGACATAGCAATCTTATTTTACCACTGTCCCAGATGTCAGTCCCTATAGGGGAACCTTGGTACCCTCTCTGAGAGGCGAGTCAGCAGTACAACTCAATATTGCCCTTTGGTGCTAATGCCAGTGCCAGTTGTAAATTTTACAATGGACAGTTCTGAGAACAGATTACTGATACTCATCAGACCCCAGACATACTTCTTTCTCTGCGCCCACATTAATTGCCCCCCAGGGTTCAGAGGTGTTCAGGAACCTTGTATGTCTGGTGTATGTCTGGAGATAAAAGCTTTTCAGTTGAACTGGTAACTTATCTCTAAAAGTAATCTCAGCAGATATTTTAAATAACACTTGCAACAATATTTCTGCACGCACATACATGCATACGCAGAATCGAATGCATACATTTAACCTAAAGTTATCTTTCCTACCTTTACAATATAACAGCTTAGTTTTTTATCTGAAATATAAGTCTTCAATTTTAAAGGTTGTTTAGTTTGTTGACATTTCAAAGTTTGTATATTTAATGTTTTATATATGATTTGAAATGAAAGAATTAGTCTTTCTTAAGTCTCTGAACAAAACAGTAATACAAAAATGATGGTGGGCGGGTGCTTTTTTTATTCTTCCTTTACCACCTCGTCCCCAGCAGGGTGAAGTAGGACTGTATGTAGGCATCTAAGGGGTGGAATAACATTTGACTCTGCTGAAGTCATTGAGATCTTAATGCTACACCAGGGAATCACTTTATGGGGTATAGGCTCCAGGTGTTCAGAGGTGCCTGGTATAAGAGAGATTTAAAAGGTTTTAATATATTTAAGGAACATTTGACTACTGCAGAAATAACTTCCCAGTTACATAGGCCCAGGTGTGTCAAATGTTTGAATGAATGGGGCAGAGAGGGAAGGAAAGGGGGAGTGTCATACTTCAAATGCCCTTATTGATGTCCCACCTTTTTTAAATTTTGTAAATGTTTGTGTTTGCTCATGGACATTTTTTCTTGCAGCCAGTTGTGATCTTAACAGTAAGACTAGGCAGGATTACAATCCCGGACTGGCCTCCTTGCTGGTAGACTGCTGTGCTCCTGCGTGGAGCCCCATTGACTTCAGTGGGACCCCTTGAAACTGATATGAGGTTCCACCTCAAAAAAAAGGCTTTGCCTGTTAGCTGCTTCCTAGTGCTTTAGGTGCTGCAGCTTCCCTTAAGCTGTTGGTCAAATTCAATATAATTTGGAAAAGAAATGAAAACTTTATTTAGCTGAAGAAGCCAAATGCTTTGTTTTATTCTAGAACACAAGTAGTTCTTGAGCATGACAGTCACCTGCTCACTGAAGTCAGATGGTGGGGAGTGGGTGGTTGATTGCGTGCAAGTTTCTGTTACAATCCGCAGCTGTGCCCACCACTTTAGAATAGCTGAATGTTTACAATGACTGACACTGAAATAGTGAACGTTGACACTTTTGCCTCTGGGCTTTAGAATCAAATGAGGAATACCTCATAATGCAAACAGCCCAAAACAATGCAGACATGGGCAGATGTCAGTATGCAAGATCACGGCTGGGGTGAGTTTTTGAGCCACAAGGGCTAAAAATGTAATGTTCCTATCAGAAGCTTAAATTCTATATAAACTGCTGGAACAGCCTTTAAAGTTCTGGCATGCAGCAGTGTTATCAGTACCATATCTCTGAAGCTACATTCAGTGAGAACCCCTGAAAAATAGGCATGTCAGCATTGGCCATAATCTCACACTCTGATTTTTCTGAAATGTTTCAGGAACTTGTAGAAACGGTATCATGTGGAGGAAATCTCCTGATGAATATTGGGCCAACTCATGATGGTTGCATTGTTGCAATATTTGAAGAACGCCTAAGGCAGATGGGTGCCTGGCTGAAGGTCAATGGAGAAGCCATTTATGAAACTAAACCATGGAGGGCTCAAAATGACACCTCCACACCAGGAGTCTGGTAAGGCTAGTGAAACAGAATGCAGAATATGAAGAAATCTTATGAGAAATTGTTCAGCTTCTGGTGGAAAGCATTACACATAGGCACTGGCAGACTTTCATTAAACAGCACAATGGGATCTGATCCCCAGTCCTCACAACTGCACACTGTGACATGTACATGGCAGGAGGTCCGGTTATTGAGTTGGGAAGTCAGAACCTGATCACGGAATTGTCAGCCTAAAAAATGCATACACAGTTTTAAAAGCTCCTTGTGCAGCAGGACTCCTGGTACACTGAGTGGTCTAAAACCCATGTACACAGTCCAGCTGGGCTTCACATGCCAGTTTTAAAGGTCCTGGAAGACTGAAGAATCTGTCTCCAATCATGGGTTCCTGGTATGCTGGGAAATCAAAAAATCATACATGCATTTTTTTTAAAGGTCTTGGTCTTGGGAACCTTTCCCTGATCCTGGGGTCCCTGTGCACCAGGAGTTCTAAAACCTGCATGTGCAGCCCAAAAGACATGGGGGGATTTTACACACAAATTCATGGCGCCAGGCAGATCAGCCACAAAGATGCTTTACATTTTTTAGGGAATATCTTTGTGGCTGGTTTGCCACTTTGTGGTGCCATGAATCAGCTGAATATGTTGCACTGTTTATGGTGCAGTTAACACACAAATTGCACAATAAATGGAATATGTGCCAGGACCCTGTGAGAAACCAGCTTATTTTGCCTGCAGTTTTCCTGTCCCAGAAAAGAACCCTTTTGGTGACTCTGTGTAGTGCCCCAAGACCATAGTTTGTTCCAGCTGTCAGACATCTAAATGCAATTCTGTCCCACCATGCTCAGCTCCCTAAAAATCTTTCTCCTATTAGTATGTCTATAACATGCCTTTATCACAGTCTTAAGAACGATTTTCAAGAAGTGGTGAGGAGGAAGGGGATCCACAGACATAGTGTTAATGATTTTTCAGGGACTTGAGCAGGATGGAGTAAGCTTGTATTTCATCATTTAGATACCTGATAAGTGGAATAGCACCTGGTCCTATTGTGGGTGTGTGTGGGGTGAAGGAGGTGATACATGGTACTGCTCAGGGGAAAAATTCTGGGAGAAAAAGAGAGTATCTCATGTGAAATAGAAGCTAATGTATATCCTTGAGCTGAATGTGTATCCTTGAGCTTTTTGTGCTTCTCAGTCAGAGTAACTGAAGAGCTAAAGCATAAAATTGCAGTTGCTGTAGCATATTGATCAATAGAAAATAGCTGATAAGAAATAATAGGATGTCATGACATGAACCACCTTTTGAAAGAACAAGCTAAACAGAAACTAATGAAGTGTCCCAGAAAGGTTAATAGCAGGCCATAGCACACTTTTTACCTTGAATATGATAGATAAATTACTTGATGAAATAATAGTTGTTTCATTCACAAGTCCAGCCCCTTTTTAATCTCTGGATCCTGCTCTGCTCCACGGTGGCTCCTGATTGGTTGTTGCTGTAATCTGCATTCATTCACATGGATCATGAGTTTTGGCCCTAACCCCTTTTTCCTTCCTGGGCCTTTCTGTTCATCTGCCCTTAGGAAGATTTGATGTATAGTCTTGAAGTCCTTAGACAATACAGCTTCAAAAACAAGAAAAAGCTGAACCAAACTAATAAGAAATACTAGCATGTCATGAGAGAGAGGTTTTGCATGTGGTGGGGGTAGTGGGGATGGTCTGCTAAAATCCAACATAAAAACTGTGCAACGTGAAGAAGGAGGCTTTGTTCTATACAAGTAATTAAGAACAATATGTACATTGTTATACACTTTCATGAACAGTTCTTATTGAATTTGGATAAGCAAACTAATTGCTGCTAACTTTTCAAATTCTCTTGTCCAGTCCTGAAAACTCTGTGCATTGATTAGTTCCTTAACAGTAATTATAAGAAAAACTGGATGAAAATTTTATGACTCCCCATTTCCAACTAGGTATACATTTAAACCCAAAGAAGCCGTTGTGTATGCCATTTTCCTTAACTGGCCTGTCTCGGGGACTCTGATACTTGGTGAGCCAAAAACCACTCTTGGAAGAACACAGGTAAGCAACTATTTTTCCTTTTGCTTTCTTTTTGCCACTTCCGTGAGGCATGTACTACACTGTGTCATTGAATAGAGAAAGGAATATAATCACAAGGTAGATTAGATCATTCCTGAATAATGCACTGTCAGCATTGAATATGTGTTTTTAAAAAAATACATATTTTTAATTGCACACAGTTTTTGTTTTAAGAAGTACAAGAGCACTAACGCATTCAGCAGTTGACCGTAAGCTGAATACAAGCCATCAGTGTGCTTCTGTTGCCAAAAAGCCAACAGCATACTAAGTTGTATTAAAAGAAGCGTCACTCGCAAATCAAGGGAAGTGATTCTTCTGCTCTATTTGGCACTGGTGAGGCTTCACCTGGAAATACTATGTTCAGTTTTTGCATCCTATATTTCAAGAAGGGCAGGGACAGATTTAATAGATTTCATAGACTTAGAGTGGAAAGAGTTGATCAGAAACAAAAATGATTAGCAGTCTGGGAAGCATGCCGTATGTTGAAAGAACTTGGGTTATTTAGTCTGGGAAAGAGAGAACTGAGGGAGGGTCCGGTAATGGTCTTCAAATACCTGAAGGGCAATTAAAGAGAGTAGAGAGATGGACTATTCTCTATGGCCTTACAGGACAGGACTAGGAACAATGACATCAGGTCATTTAGGTTGGAGGCTAGGAGGAAGTTTCTAGCTATGAGAGTAGTCGGGTATTGGAACAGGCTGAAGAAATTTTGGAATCATCATCCCTGGAAATTTTAAAGAGCAGGTTGCATGAACACTTGGCTGTGGTGGTTTTATCAGGAGTGATCCCATCTTGTGCAGAGCTGGACTAGATGACCTTGTGAGGTCCTTTTCAGCCTTACTTTGCAATGATCCTATGACATCTGGCACATTTGGTAATACAAATATAGAATAGAATATGTTGCAAGAAGACAGAGTTGTGTCCTGCTAATTAATTTCCACTCTAGTCCTGTCCGTGCCAAACAGTCCTCACAGAAAGTTGCCTGGAACGCTCCTTTTTTGTAATGTCCTCCACCAAATGATGCATCTGCTTGCATGAGGATAATAATGGGTTTTCTGTAGTTGTAGGCTCTTTCTTCACTGTGAACTGAAGACTCTGAGCCTTAAAGATGTTCTGATAATACATGATTTATTTGTCCACTGAGAGGAGTTGTATCTGAGGAACTGAATGGTCTAGCATGCCCAGAGAATTCTCTCCAGTCCTCCTCTTGAAGCAATTGCACCTTGCATTTAACATGCATTGGGTACAATGGATAACCAGCACTGGAATATTTTTGGCCCTCTTGGGAGGCAGAGAACCAGCAAGAACCTAAGGTCCCTTCCCATCCAGGGCACTGTTCCATCTCATTGGGCCACCTCTTCCCTGGTTTGTTCTCCTGGCTGCCTGTCGGGTGCTTCGGATAGTGACCAGCCCATGCCCTTGAGGTTAAAGCATCTTTCTGGAAGGAAATGTAGGTGTGAACCCTCTTTTGGTGAGGTGGTGTCTATAACTTGTGCCTCCCATTCCCTGGGCAACTGCCTTTACCACTAGGCTATTGGGCTAACAGATGGGAGAGTTACTGGCTTTCTCTTCTGCTGTCTTGCTTTTTTTTTTGCAACTAAGGTTTTGGGATTTGCCTGGCATTATGCTACTGCCGGGGTCATTCTGTTTCACTTGGCCACCTATGCAGCCAGAGTGCAGCTTTCTGTGCTACATACATGCCTCACATAAACACGTGAGGGTGAAACAGAATTATTTGTGTCCACTTGAGGGACTCTTGGAGACTGAAAGAGGTCTGTCTCCTAAGGAATGATAGCTGAATCACTTCATGTCATTCTTCCTACTGCTGGTGCTGCATCTACAGCTGGCTGTAAGGAAAGACAAGAGACTCATTAGCATCAAGGTGGCAGGAGCTGGCTCTTTTGTGGCAGGTAAAATAGCTTGCAGAAGTTCAGGATGCTTTATCACCTAATTGTTAGTGGAGAACCTACTTTTCCCTTGAAGTTCTGGAGTCCAGGAATCCTGTTCTTTGTGCTCTACAGGTTGTGGGAATAGGTGTTCTCTGCTAGTGTTGAGGGAGAAATCTTTAAAACCAAAGGAAAAAACAAAGCTAAAGCTCTTCTAGGAACCCAGTAACAATTGATGTTCCAGTGGGAGTTGTGGAGTCAAGCAAGTGTAGTGTTGGGAAGCAGAAGGCTTTAGGGAATTCTTCCCGGTAGGAGGCAGGGTGTTGCTCAGCCTAGGCTGACAGCAGATCTGGTCTGCCTCCAGCTGTCACACAGCTGGGAAAGGTCCTAATGGAAGGGACTGCCTGACATGCATAGAACTGGAAATATACCCAATGACTTACAGGATGCATCTGCACATGAGCTTTGCTGTGGAGCTGACTAATTAGCTCCCCAGTGAAGAGTCACTGTCTACATGTATGTCTGTATTAGGGCACAGTAAATTAATTAACTCCAGGACAAGTACCATCTTACAGCAGAATAGTTACTTGTGCCAAAATGCATGTGTAGATAGTGACGGGCTCGCTGGGGCATGAGGATGCTAATGTGCAGGGGCTGCCTGCTGCTTAGCTCTCCACCATAGCACCCACATGCCCCAGCCAGCCCTTCCACAGTACATCGAGCTGGGTGGGATGGAGCAGCCCCAGGCTGGCAGGTTGACTCCCCTGGGCTCCCTGCCAGCCAAGGCTGCTTCGCCCTGACTCAACATGCTGTGGTCCTGGGCACACGTGAACGCTGTGCCTGGGAGTAATAAACTGTGGCATGAACTGTGCCTGAGTTTATTGTTACATGCTAATTTCACATGTCGATGTACCCACTACAAAATTACACTTGTTTTACATTGTCTTAGTTTTTGATCCTGTCTTTTAGATATGTTCTGGTAAATTTCAGTCAAGTTCCCTTCCTATGGGCTGTCCGCCCTTCTAAGAGAAATTGGAATATACCTCAGTGTTGGAGTATAACTTAAGACAGGTGGAGTTTCTTTCTTCCAAAGTCTTTTTTTTATATTACACTCTCTTGGGCTCCACTTCTTGTCTGTCTTCAGCCAAGTAAGACTCTCTCCCTGCCACAGCCAATTTTTGATAAACCATCTTCCTACTTTCAGTCCTCTTTAACACCCTCTAGCCATATAAGTGGCGCTTCTTGTTTTGCACACCCACAGAATGCTAATTCAGCACAAAGTACAGTTGGCAACTGAACTACACAATCACATAAGTTGCTGCAGATTTGGCTGATGCTTCTCAGCAAATGCAAAGAAGAGGCTTTAAGACAGATGGCACTTCTTTACTTTTGCATTGCATATTTGTAGCAGCAGCCTTTTATGGCAGTAGCAAGAAGTCTCATTGCACTCCCACTTATCCAGTAGGTTAGTTGATTAAAGCAGTCATACAAGACATAAGAGATTTGGGTTCAAACCGCTTTTATCTAAAGAGATTCAAATCCACAAGTCTCATCTCCCAGCTGTGTGCTCTGACCACTACAGTAGTCATGTTTTCACTTTGTCTGGGCCAGTGAATTTTTTTTATCAACAGAAGGGATGGAGAGGTTTCATAGTTTGGACACTCAAGCCACATCCAGACAAGCACAAATGTTTGGTTCCCCAGGGACAAGTAGCAGCAGCACGTGGCAGGTTACCTCAGGTGGGGTAGGAGAGGCCCAGCAGCCTTCCCTGGGGTTCTGGGGGCCGGGGAAGCTGGAGCCAAAGTGCTCCTGCAGGTGGGAGTCTGGCTAGCAGTTGGAGCATAGCTCCAGCTGGTCAGGCTCCGGTTTTGGGTGGTGCATGCTGCTGCCACGTGCACCAGCCCACTTTTTTTCCACACAGGTTTTTTTGACCCTGGGATATTCCAGGGTCAACCCCACCTCCTTGCGCTGCAAGGTAGTGGTGTGGGGAATGCCTGAGCGTGCGGAGTGTGGCACCACAGACAGGTCTGCAGCACCGCATACCGAATGGCCACTTTCATCTGGACGTGGCCTTGGTGTGTGAGACTGCATCCCCTCAGACAGGGATTGAACCCAGGTCTCCTACATACTGATTTATTGGGTGAACCTAATGCCTACTCCCCAACACTGTCTGTTAGAAAGATATGTAACTCCTTGCTCTGCTTTTGAAAGACGCGATTTAGGAGGGTTCTAGGCTGTGAATGCGAATAAAGGGAGTTGCATACAGTTTAAGCTACATCACTGTCTTAGGCATTTCCTGTTTGGCTATTTTAGGCTACTCTTACTTAGTGTTGGTTTTTGTGGATCCCATTTTGAGATGTCTGATTCTCCTCATGTATTGTATTGAGGGTCTAGACAACTGTGGATTCCATGGGGGGAGGGAGGAGGCAGAGGCAGGCACCTAAAAATTGGGCACTGTGATGCCTAAATTCCTTTTTGGATCCTAATGTTTTATCCTAGTGGGATTTTTCCAAAGCACCTACCTGCATCTTTAAATGCCTAAACAACTTTTAAAAAGCTATGTGCTCTTGAGTCTTGTATGCTGTGTAATATAAAACTGTAAGTTGCACCAAGTTAGTTGAAACCACTGGTGCTCAACCTTTTGGCCCCACAAGCCAAGATGAATGGGGTGGGGCTGATCTGCGGGCTGGATTGAACCCTGTGAGCCAGGATTAGGCTTGGGGGCCCAGCACCACCCCCTTCTGCCCCCACATACCAGGATCAGACCCCAAGAGCATGGCACCACCCCTCACCATCCCAAGTGCTAGGAGCCGATCTTGGGTTTGGGCCTCAGGGGCTTGGCCCTGCCCCTTTCAACTTCAGAGCCTTGGGATTGAGTCTTGGGAGCCTGGTGCTCCCCCCTTCCTGGTCACCTGTGTGCTGAGGTTGGACCCCAGAGCATGGCAGAGCCCATCCCTTCCACTGCCCCTGAGCCCTGGGAACCAGATCCAATGCACAGGGCTTGGGGCCTAGTCTGAGACCGGAAGGCAGCATCGCAGGTCGGATAATAGGGCTCTGTGGCCGATATTTGACATTCCTGCTCTGGGTGAAAAGCAGTGCCAAATTTCTAAGTTTTCAAATGCATTACTGCATTTAGAGCATCTTTTATTTTCACATACATGGTCATGCCCAATCATCTATATGTGGGATTTTACCTATTAGTATACTGTCCTTTTTGGTAGCACTCTATAAGCAGCAGTAAATTCATGTTGTTATAAAAATAATTTGTACTGTGGAAATGTGGTCCCTTCCTGGCTGTCAGGGACCTGTAGCAAAATACTTTTTAAATTTCTGTGACTGTTTGCATGAAGCCAGACATGTCCTTTCACAGTATCTGATGAAATGAGCTTGGGCTCACAAAAGCCTATGCTATACATCTCTGATGTCATTACTCTGTAAGGTACAAATCTATTCTGCCACTTGCATAAAGGATATTGTAACTACAGTCTGGACTAACATGGGCACAGGATCATTTATTTTGCTATCTTCCCTATTGAGGAATGTATGATAAATGTGTGGGTTGCAGGTAGTAATTAGGACATGAATCACATTTAACAGACTGCTGTTTAACTGATGCTTTGCTTTGTTTTTTCATTTCAGGTGAAGTTGATTGGATATAAGGAACCACTGAAGTGGATTTCACTAGGAGAAGAGGGAATGATAGTGGCTGTACCTCAGTTAACCCTTAGTCAATTACCATGCCAATGGGGGTGGACTCTGCAACTGACTAATGTTAACTGAACAAGATATACAGAGATTGAAAGTTGTAGACTTTCCCCGCCCCCCAGAAATCCTTAATTCAAGCATAGTTAGGAGTACTTCATATTTTTAATTAAGAGTCTAGGTATTGAATTTTGTAAACAGAGCTGAAATCAGGATTGATGGGTGCAAGTTTAATGCAGAGTTGTGGTTTCAAGTTAGTAGGATGAGAACTTGGCCCTTCTGTTCTATCTTCCCTGGTGTTAAAAGATGGGGTGAATTTACATTGGGCTTTATTTGAAACCTGATACTGGATTTCTGACTTACAGTGGGCTTCAGTTCAACACTGAGGGTGAAAAAAACGTGCACTAATCACAGCATCTACCTCAATCTCTCCACACTGGCCAGTAAAACTACTTTTTTTGCAGTTCTTGCCAAAATCCTATGTGAACAAATGGAATACTAACCCCTTCTCATGACTTGGAGCTCATTTTTTAAACAAGTGAATGATAAAGGCTGAGCTAAATTTTGCATTCATACATTGATCAGAGCAGTGTGTTCATGAGAACTCAACTCTACCAATCTCTCTCTCTTGCTTTTAACTTTGTGCACTTTTGGTTCTATAAAGATCATTTAAGATTTTTTTAAAGCAGGAAAATAAATGATTTTGTCAAAAAGCATCCTTTTAACTGTTCCTGCAAAGGGTATGAAAAATATAGAGGTTAATATTTTAACCCTTTTTCATTGGCATCCTTGTCTCTCCCAACAATTACTTTAGACTCTTAGAACATCAACAGATCTAAATTTAAGTTGGTGGGGTTTTTTGTCACTTCTTTCCTTCCCAGTGTATGAAACTTTCTGCCTGTGACCCATTTCTCTCTCCTCCATACTCATAATAAAGGAAATATAAAGACCTGATCACTGGCAGAAAAATCTTACCTGGTGCATCCACAGCAGTTAGAAAGCAGATGTAACATCATGTCTACTGGCACAACTGCTTGGATAACCAAACTAGCTCTAGTACTGAAAGCGGTATGCTTGCATTAGCATAGTGCTCCACCTACACTAACCGACCTTGCTGACACAGTTCTGCCCACCTCAATATAGTAATACTGTTCCCATTACAGAGCTAACTTACCAGTTGATGCAAGGCTTTGGACAGTCTTTGTCCTTTGCCTGAGCTCTTCTTGCTCAGGTATATAATATACATGTCTAGTCAGGGGCTCAGTTGCAGAATATATAGGCTATACTTACAGTCTTTAAAAGACTCAGAACCCACTTCACAACTTGTGATTTAAGTTACAGAAGACTTCAGTACCACATGTTTATCTTCACTTTTGGAGCTATGGGGAAGTCAGCACATGTACCATGCTTCTATTTTCATCACTAAGTTTCATAGCATTTTCTTTCTTAAGACCCTAGTTCTGCAAAGCCTTGTGCTCCTTTCCAACTTCAGGTGCTGCACGTAGTTGTATTGATTTCAAGAACATTACCAGTATATGCTCAAGTCTCAAGGACTGGGGCCTTAGTCATGACTGGTGGTACTAGACTAGAAGACTCATGTATCAGTTAGCATTCAAATTCCTGTAAGGTCAGAGTGTTTTAAATAAAATCTTTTCTAAGCAATCATTTTCTATATCAGAAGTATATAAGGTGTAACATTTAAGAGACTAGGTTTTATAACTGAATCTTATTTCCAATTCTTGTACTCATATTTGGGATTATACAGGTGGGAAATTTTATTTACTTGTACTGTATGCATAACTTTATTTTACAGGGCTACTGCTGATTCTTGTTTACATTAACTGTAAAGGATTACCAGAAGAATCTAAAGTGAGAGAGGTGCTTTACTTGAATCCTACGCATCCAGATAAATAATTAAACTGGCCTTGAGAATAATGTATAGAAAACTAGAAATTGTCTGTTTTGAATGCATAGGACCAAATTCTGCAAGGATCTCTATTACCTGAAAGCTGTATCTTTGTGCAGGGGTTTTTATGGGATCCAGTATAATGATATACTGTCAAGATACTCTTTGGGCCAACTTCTGCATGTACCTTATGTTCTCTGTTTATGCTGATGTTCCAGGTTACAAACTTCAAGGGATGGTATCCTGGCATATTGAAATCAATTGGAGTTTTTCCAGACTTCAGTATGCATAGGATTTAAGGGATTCAGCTGTGGGATTTAAGGAATATGTCAGGAATAAGAGAAAACTTAAATAACTGGCCGGTTTTGAAGCTTTGATTCTAGACGGCTGAATAAACAGGTGTACTTGGTCAACTTTCTAGAGCAGGGGTGGCCACCCTGCAGCTCTTCAGAAGTTAATATGCATCTCCTTGAATCTTTACACAAGCACACAGTGACCAGCAACCATTTGGAAGCTGGTTACCATGTGCTTGTGCAAAGATTCAAATAGATGTATATTAACTTCAGAAGAGCTGCATGTGGCTCTGGAACTGCAGGTTGGCCACCCCTGCTGTAGAGGGTTCTATTAGGTTGCTACAGGTCACATGAACTTCCAGTTTTGATCTGGGGAAGTACATTGGGAAATACATCTTAGATTCATCTCCACCTCAGTTATTTTGCTAAGGATTTCTGTAGGTGATACATTTTATTGTGCCAACTGTATAACTGGAATAGACTTATAGGCAAGCTTCTATATGCTGGGCTTTCTTCTTGAGGTCTCAATAAGAAACCTTTTTTTCTGCCTTTTCCAATTCACTCCCTGCTCTTCAGGCCCTCATGACAGTAGATTATTATTGCCCTAGTATAATTCTAAATACTTTCACTAATAGCATTCTCTACAGTTTGGTAACCATACGGTTGGATATTTAAGCAGCAAGGGAAAAAAAGAGTGTGCTGTGTAACAAAAACAGCATTAAAAAAAATCAAGTTGTCTTAACTTGTATATCAAGGAATTATTTTTCTAGTCTTTACTTTCCTACAGAAACATACAGTGTAAATAAAAGCAAGACACTTGTACTGAAGATTCAATTTATTTTCCTTTCAGGTATGTAAAGTTTGAATGTGGTATAGACATTCTTTTGTTGGTAAAATTACTGCACACACAAGCTTTACATTAAAATATTTTATTACAATACAGACAGTTGGGTTTAAAATTAATACAAATTAAGATAAAATATTTACAAACAAATGTGTACAGTAGTGGCCATTAGTGAACAGCATAAACGATAACCTCTACAATCAATGTACTTTCAAGTCTTAAGCAAGACAGCAACCATCCAGAACTTTGGTCAAATATAAATATTAATTGGCAAAAACTTATTTTGCCTCTGGAATATTAAATAGCCAAGAATGGCATCTGTAGCATTGAAATTAAAATCCCTCTTTCCTCAAGGAAATCTAAAGGGAAGGAGAAGAGCCCAATTTCACCTAGTTTACTGTCTGTTGTTCTAGAGCTTAATGCCCAGAATACTTTTCTCTCTAAATTTACCACAGACCAAGCAGGTCTGTCTCACCAAGTGTCAGTATCCTGGTATAAACATCAGCTGCCTTTCACATATAGTAAAATTAACTGTAAATGACCTATTCAATAGGTTTAAAGTCTTCTTACAACAGTCTTCATATTCAGTGAGTCTTTCGATGAAAATGCTTTCTAGATCAGGTGTCGTAATCAGGTTTCTATTATATAAACAAAAGCAAGTGCATTCCACTTATTTCAATGAGTATATTTCTGTAGGCCTAGCATTCTTACACCATTATGAAATTAACCCAAATCGTTATAAGTTCTCACCAATAGCCACAAGGGATGTACTATAAATACATGATCTGTCCCAATGATGCACAGGTCATTTCTCTAGTTGCTGAGGGGTACTGAAAGCTTCATAAACATTGGCAGCAAAGTCTTTCACTTGTTCCATCATGAGCAGGTCCTGGAAGAAGTAAAAATAAACTTTAAGTACCAGCCTCCCTTACCACTGAAATGCCCAATTTTGTTAAGTGTGAAAGACTGAGTAAAGAACTCATTCATTGGCAGTGGTCAGTCTAAAAATCATATAGTTGAAAGTTAATTAGAATCACATCTACAGATGGAACTGGATTAAGAAACTCACTGCATTTCCATACAGTGATCACAGCTGTTTAGAAGGGAGAAGGGAATTTTAGGAAGAAGGAGTTTTCTTTTAGAAAGGAATTTGCTTTAAGTTGATTTGTTTTTAATGCTGTTGATTGTTCTTGCCCTTTTAAAAAGTTATTGAAGTTAAACAACGTATGAAAAAGAGGACAATATAATATTGCTGTAAAAACAAAGACTACTTCAACAGACATCAGCTGTTTAAGACATTAAGCAGTTCTTACCTGAACAAAGTGACTAGGAGTTTCACTGCAAACTGAATGGATCTGTCCATTTATTATTGGAATTATCTTGGCTAATGGCAAACTGACACTCGAAAGGCTATAGGAAACAAAAAGCTAATGAGAAGTAGGCCTAGCTATTAGGACTGTGCGAAGCTTCAGTAGTTGATTTGATTCAGAGATTTGGCCCAATTCGGGAACCGAATCCGGAGACCAATTAAAAGTTCCGAATTTATTTGAAGCATCTGAATAGATTCGGAAATGCTTCGGCCACATCAGAGATACAGCCATAGACTAAACAGGCAGCTGACACAGCTGCCCCCAGTGGGCAAGTCTGTTGGGATGGGGGGAGGGGAGCGGAGAGACAGGCTGGGACAAGCTGCCCAGCTGGGGCGTGGGGCATGTTGCATGCGGAGGGGGGCAGGGGACACAGGATGCGGGCACGGCAGCCCTGGGAGCAGGGGCTCTGCCCTGCTGCTCCT